GTGTGTGTGTGTGTGTGTGTGTTGCATGTGTGTGTCACATGAATTTCGCGCGAGTACGACACGTCATACTCGTGCTTACCCCGACTAAAAATGTCGGCATACTGCAGGCAAGAGCAAAGCGCGGAGGCGATTTCAAACACAGCAGGGTATAACCGCATCGTACGCCCTTTTGCGGCAAGGGTAGGAAAGGCCGTTTTGCCACGTGAATACGCGAGCGCCATTCAGGACAGGGGGCAAGAGTGGCAGAAGCCTATTTTTCAATGCGAATACACACACGCATTCATAAACCGCAAACTTATGAGAGAGCAAAAATAGTTAATTAATCGGATGAAGATTGCAAATCCAATCCATACGAAAGGAATAAATATTTCAAAAAAATTCATGGTGCGATTGTTATAGAAATGCCAAGATCATACATGATAAAATCAAGATGATGGGATAAAGGGAGCTTGTTGATGGCTAAAAGGTGAGCAGAAGTCTGTTAAACATACATGCTAGCATTCATATACCGCAGCCATCCTTCGAAAACAGAAATGAATGAAGATTCCAAGTTTCGATAAACACAACCATTTACAGAGGAAAATTCATAGTGACGATATAGAATAGACACACAAAGGAGATACCGAAATTCTGAAGAAAGATTTACATGCAGCAGTAAGAAGTGCGATCAACATAGCAAGAGTATAATTCCACACATATTTGCAAAAAAGAACGATAATGGCGATCGACCAGAAAGATATAAGACGCCATTGCATATCCAATTATTGACAAAATTCCGACAAGTTCTTGAAAAATTACAGCAATCATAGATCCATAAACTGACCAACCTCGCTCACACCGCTGCCAGCATCCATACGAGTAACCGTGCCAAGAAGACTGTCATAGGGAAGAGTCGTAGAGGGAGGGGAGCAAGGGGAAGGGAGACGGTGGTGAAAGAAGATCCTGCTTCAGCTCTCTCCTCCAGGCCCGATGCGTTTGCACCCGCTCGGGCCATCTCGCACATGGCAAATCCCTGAAGCGCTTTTCTATCCCATGCCATCTGGGGTGTCATCAGAGGGGGGACATCTTCCATGATCTTTGGAAGGCGGGGGGGGTTGAAGGGGGGCGCAGGGGGGCGTTACGTGGATAGGATAACGGAGGGGGTGGGGGATTGCAGGTGGGGTAGGGGGGAAGAGAAGGGCAAGGGGGGCAGGGACTGCATTGACGGGGGGAGGGGGAGGGGAGAGAGTAGAGGAAGTAGAGGAAGGAGAGGAAGGACAGAAAAGAGATAAACGCTAAAAAGATGTGTGAAGACGTCCCTGTCGCCATCTTCGTTTCCATTAGTATCCTCGCGTCCTTATCACTTCACGTTGATCAACCCGCTGGCAGCGGCTAACAGAAAGAGCAAGCAGCAGCAGCCCGCAAGAGGAAGCGCAATAAAGCAGACGGTGTAGGCGATGAGCACTGCGAAACACTTCGTCGAAGTGCCTAAAAACACTCTCTCCGAGAGGCAAACGGTAAACAGCAGACTCGCTATGGCGAGGTTCGGCAGCAGGGCAAGCAGCATCAGCAAGGCCAGATAGGCGTACAACACAGGCGAGAAGGAACAGAGGCAGGTCATTGCGGTCGCGGCGGGGCATGTCGCATCGCCTTGCATCACGAAAGTTTGCAGCGTGGTCGGGGAGGCGAAAAAGGGAGGGTCTCACGCGAGGAGCGTTACCACTTCCTCCTCCACATGCTGCTCCTCCTCCTGGTCCCATTCATCGAAGAAGTCCATGCTGTCCCTCGCCTCACAAGATTCCCACAGAAATCGGATCGCGCTGAGTTCCTCTCGTTGTTAGAGCCACCAATTGCCCGATGGTTCGATGAATAGCAAGCCCGGCATCTAATCCTAATATAGTATCCGTCCTGACCCCGTATAGTACACTTCCTACGCACGCTTCTTTCGCCGTCCATTCATTTCGTTCGTTAGTCCGACGGTCGAGATAGGGGAAAGGAGGACGCAAACGACAAAAAAGAAGGAAAAAAAAGGAGAAAAGAAAAAAGTAAGAGAAGGAACAGGGAGTAAAAAAATCGAGAACAAGGGGCGGTACTATAGTGGACAACGGGTAAGCCCAACGCATAGGCAGGGGCCGGAAAAAATTCAAACTAGTCCTACCGGTTAGAGGCTGTTACTTCGTTTAATATGCCCCAGTGAGGACCGTGAGCGAGTTGCTCTTCTCAGTCCATCCTATATCCGCTCATGGTGGAAAAAAAGAAAAAAGAAAAAAGGAAAAAGCAAGAAGAAAAAGGAAGAAAGGAAAGAAAAAGGGTGTCGTTAGACACTCCTCGAGCCGTCCTCGGAGTTCGAGGACGAATCCTCGGAATTTTTAGCGTTTTTTTTAGGTGTCTTTCCACCTGTCCTCGGAGAATCGCCCCGAGGACGAATCCTCGGGGGCGTCCCGCGGCCAGTTTCATGATATTATAGACGGCCGCAAGGGTGTTGTCCGGCCTTCGGTTCGGGATGTCCGTGTTGGAGGCGTGGTGGTCCAGCAGGCGGACGGCGAAACTGCGTCACGGGGCTCGAAGAAGAAAATCGCCAACGCGGGAACGGCCCCGTTCAAATTTCGAAATTCGAATTTGCACCATGCGGAACAACGGTGTGGCGGCGCACACGCGGGTCGGCGAGGAGGGGGGGTGGCACTGCACGTCGCGAAGGGTTTCGGGTGCCGTGGCATTGCAACTGACATTTCGTTAAAACTGACATTTTTTTCTAAAATCGCAAAATTGAAGTCCTTAAGCGCCGCCGCACCGCCACCGTCTCCAGGGTGTTCGACGTCGCGCCGCGCTTCGTATGCTGCCGGTAGTTGCGCTCGTAACGCAGGGGGCCGTGGCGGTTCCGTGATTCAGCGCCGGAGCGCGGACACTCCAATCGGGGTGGAACATCGTCAAGCATGGCTGCATTGCTCACCTGATTGCAGTGGCCTTCAATCGCGGTGGGAGAGGTGCGTGCAGGTGGGTGGCGAGGAAGGTTGCTTTTCCTGTCCGAAGGGCGGAGTGGAGGCCTGCTATCGCGATGGTCGTGCTGTGCAGTCCAGTGCGGAGAAGACAGCTGTCGCGGCGGCTGCTGTCACAGTTGTCCGTCGATTCCAGCTAGAGAGGGCGGCTGGGCACATGAAAGTGACGCTTTCAAGGCGGCGGCAGAGGCTTTTGCTGCAGAGGGTGTTGGACGCCCCGGACTGCGTTACCAGTTCTGAGGCAGTGCTTCAGCTATGCTTTGCAATAGGGTGCGGTGTGCTTCCTCGGTCGACGCCACGTTGGTGGATGAGGCGGAGAACCGGCGTGACTTGGGAGGATTTGCGGCTCTGCGATGACGCGACGGACGACTACTTCCGGGAAAAGCTCCGCATGTCGAGGAGAGTTTTCATTAAGATCAGCGAAGCTTGTGCACCTCTCTTGCAACGACAGGTTACGTTCTACAGGGAGCCACTTCCGCCGGAGCAGATCGTCGCCTATGCGCTTTACAGGTGGGCTACAGGAGAGTCATACGACAACAGCACCTCATCTTTCGGCATAGGCAGGGCTTCCAGAATTCTGGTTGTGCGCGCGGCGTTCTGCATGGCGCAAGGCTGAAATGCGGACAGGGAGGCAAGAAGACGAGGGGGTCTCACGCCAGGAGTGTTACCACTTCCTCGTGCTCTTGCCGCTCCTCCTCCTGGTCCCAATCAGCGAAGAAATCCATGTCGTACACTGCCACGCAAAAACTCTCGCAGAACTTGACGGAAGAGTGTTCCAGTTGCTACCAGAGTCGGTTATCGCACAGTAGGCCGATAAATAGTGCTGCTAGTGCCTAATCCTAATATAGTCACTACCCTGCCTCGTATAGCACACTTCTAATGAAAGCCTCCTTTTCCATCCATTCGCTTCATGCGTCAATCCGTCGGTTGTAAAGAAAAGTAAAAAAGGAAAGTACAAAAGGAAGAGAGAAAAAAATTCAAAAAAAGGAAAAATGACAAACAAAAGAGCCGTAAAAAAGTACAAAGTTCGTCGGCCCGAGGCAGAGATGATCATTTTTTTTAGAAATGGCACTTACCCCAACCCGCCCGAGTGTTTTTTTGAAAATTTCCTCCCACACCCAACCCACCCGTCACCCGTAAAAAACCTTCACCCTGACCCACCCACACCCGCGAGAACAAAATTACCCGGCCGCACCCAGTACGTAATTATTGTCCACCCGCACCCGCCCATTCCCCATTGTCTCAGTCCCTTTGAACATTTGCACGCACCATAGCAACATGACATCCTTGGACGACGACGCAAAACTTTGAAGCATCTCTGCCTACAGAAATTTAAATCGCTCTACAAGTTTGAAATTGGGTAGTGAACCTAAGGGTTGCCACTTGCTGTGGTTAGGTCCGATTCCCACTGTTTTAAACCACCAGTACCTACCGGTGTCCAAGGCCCGACCCTAAAGCTACCGGTAGGCCTAACCTACAGCTACGGTGACGAGCCTCGAAGTACCGGTACTTCGAGGACATCAAAATTTGTTTAGAATAAATGTGAATAAAATGAAAAGAAAAACAAACGAAAAACAAAGAAAAATTTCAAAAAAAAAAGAAAAAAAGGAATCGAACACCTTGATCCAACGCGCCAACACATCAGGCGCCCGATCCCGCTCACCCTCCCTGTTCATCGTCCGGACGAGCATCACCCCACGCGACCCGCCGGCAAGGAAGTTAACGATGGGTCTAGCATCGCGTGACTTCCTTCCGTCTGACATGATGGTCGCCCCCGTGACATAGAAAGGAGCCCTGACCTCTGCGAGATCAGCTCCCACATCGTCCGCCGTGTGGACAATGGTCTCTATGTCCGCGATCTCATTGTCTGAAGGCCACAACACCTTCACTGGCCCCGGCAAATCCCTGAAGTGTCGGACGACGTCCAACCACGGCTCGCTCCGGAAGACGTTGAACGCCAGGCGCTGACTGTACACAAACCGCAGCCACTTCTTCTTGAACTCCATCTGCCACTTTGAAGAGAATGACTCCGTGATCGTGTTCTGTCTCATCCTCTTCTGTGCTGCCGTCGGTCTGGCCCCCTCCTCTCTCTCCTTCCTCTTCGTCGCAGACGGACCCGCCTCAGCCGTATCCGCACCTGCCCGTGTATGAGCCGACACGTGCGCCGACGCAAAGTACTGGCCCTGCTGCCCCCCCGGCTCGCTGACAACGCCCTTCCCTCGCTCCCTCCCTGACGACCCCGCTCGCGCAACCTCCTCGACGTCGTCGTGCACCTCGATCTCCTCCTCCGTGTCCCTCATCTCTCCCTCCCCCCCCTCGTCCCGTCGCGGATCCATCGCAGGCGCCGGACCGTGAAGCTCCTCAAACTGCTGGATCCGCTGTAGGAACTTGTCGGACATCTTGTACTCACTATTGTAGTGGATGTCGACAAGTGCCTCGTCGGTCACTTCTGCATCGCGCGGTGAGAGAGAGAGAGAGAGAGAGAGAGAG